CCTCCCAGAGTGTTGGGATTATAGGTGTGAGCCACAGCACCTAGCCTGGGCTCTTCCTTTTTAAATTAGGAAACACATGTACAAGGAAATCTGGTCTGGAACCTGCTGCTGCTTCTGGGCAAAAAAATGGCAGAAGACATCTTCACAGAGGCCAGAGGCCAAGTTGGAACTGTTTTTCCTATTTGGCATTTATGCTCAGTGCTATAGGTTTACTTTTATCTTTTTTTTTTTTTTTTTTTTTTTTTTTTGATGGAGTTTCACTCTTGTTGCACAGGCTGGAGTGCAATGGCATGATCTCGGCTCCCCGCAACCTCTGCCTCCAGGGTTCAAGTGATTCTCCTGCCTCAGCCTCCCGAGTAGCTAGGATTACAGGCATGTGCCACCATGCCCGGCTAATTTTGCATTTTTAGTAGAGACGGGGTTCCTCCTTGTTGGTCAGGGTGGTCTCGAACTCCCAACTTCAGGTGATCCTCCTGCCTTGATCTTCCAACGTGCTGGGATTACAGGCGTGAGCCACTGCATCTGGCCTGCTTTTATCTTTTGAAAATACAACACCCAGGCTGGGCGTGGTGGCTCACGCCTGTAATTCCAGCACTTTGGGAGGACAAAGTGGGTGGATCACTTTAGGTCAGAAGTTCAAGACTAGCCTGGCCAACATAGTGAAACCCCCGTCTCTACTAAAAACACAAAAATTAGCCAGGTGTGATGGTGGGGACCTGTAATCCCAGCTACTTGGGAGGCTGAAGCAGGAGAATTGCTTGAACCCAGGAGGCGGAGGTTGCAATGAGCCGAGATCCAGCGACTGCACTGCACTCCAGCCAGGGTGACAGGGTAAGACTTGATCTAAAAAAAAAAAGAAAAAGAAAAACCACCACCCAAATTTATCTTGAGTGTGGTCAACGTTCATGTCTTGGGATCTTGCGTGTGATTTCACTCTTGGACTTCCCCTCCTGGACAAACCTCCCTGCATTTGTTTCGAGGCAATCTTGAGCTGGATGGGAAAGGAGTCTTGGGTCAGGGGATTTAGAACAAGGTCTGAAAAGAAACAAAGCTGCTTCAGTTCACTTAGTAAGTGTGGTAATTAGCCTTGGAGTAACAAATGTTATCTGCACCGGTGCAGCTCCGTGCCAAGTACCAAAACCACATTTTCCAGATGATTCCAGTGAGTTTTTCACTCGAAGCAATTCAACATTAGGCCCCAAAGACTGCAGTCATCTTGTATAAAACAATAGATAGTTCATCTCTTCCTTTCATGCAGCAAGAATGCAAAATCTAGATTAAGAACCAACAGCAGAACCCCTTGCATGTCCTCCTAAGCTTCCAGAATTACAGGGAGAGACTACTCAATATTCATGAAAAGCATACTAGCTACAATAATTCTGAAATAGTTTTGGTTTCTGGAAGTACAAGTTTCCAAATTAATGTCTGATAGACCCTATGGTCATAAATGTCTGTGAACATGTGAGTTTCAGGAATACAAGGTAAATAAAGGTTATCATTAAAACATGAAATATGGCCAGGCATGGTGGCTCAGGCCTGTAATCCCAGCACTTTGGGAGGCTGAAGCAGGCAGATCACTTGAGGTCAAGAGTTTGAGACCAGCCTGGCCAGTAGGGTGAAACCCCATCTCTGCCAAAAATACAAAAATTAGCCGGCATGTAGTGTGCGCCTATAATCTCAGCTACTTGGGAGGCTGAGACACAAGAATCACTTGAACCCAGAAGGCAGAGGTTGCAGTGAGCTGAGATGGCACCACTGCACTCCAGCCTGGGGGACAGAGCGAGACTCCATCTCAAAAAAAAAAAAAAAAAAGTTGTTGATTATGGCATTAATCAGGATAGAGGCCAGCCCCCACTCCAGTAAAAATTAAAAGCCTTATGTAACTTCCCTGAAGTCCACTAATGCCCAAATGCAAAGAATGCTTTTCACTTGCTCCAGGGAGACTACAGAACAGGGTTTGGGGGAGGCCAGTGCGTGGGGGTGGGAGGTGCAAAATCAACTTCACCTTGCAGAGGAGGAGACACTTGGCCTTGGCTCTAGGATAAAACTTGGGATTCCTAAAGGACAAGCTTTTCTCCCTTTTACTGCTTCAGTCTTTACTGTCAAAGCCATATCTGGGCTGGGCGCATTGGTTCACACCTGTAATCCCAGCACTTTGGGAGGCCGAGGTGGGCAGATCACTTGAGGCCAAGAGTTTGAGACAAGCCTGGCCAAAGTGGCAAAAGCCCATCTTTACCAAAATACAAAATATAAAAAATACAAAAAATGGCTGGGCACAGTGGCTCATGCCTATAATCCCAGCACTTTGGGAGGCCGAGTAGATGGATCACTTGAGGTCAGGAGTTCGAGACCAGCCTGGCCAACACGGCAAAACCCCATCTCTACAAAAAATACAAAAATTAGCCAGGCGTGGTGGTGTGTGCCTGTAATCCCAGCTACTTGGGATGCTGAGGCATGAGAATTGCTTGAACCCGGGAGGCGGAGGTTGCAGTGAGCTGAGATTGCGCCACTGCACTCCAGCCTGGGCCATAGAGTGAGTCTCTGCCTCAAAAAAAAAAAAAAAAAAAAAAAAAAAGCTGCATCTGTTGATGTAACCATTATATAGGTATTCTGGATCTCCTATTTCAAGAATTTTCACAGGCAAGCATGAAAATAACTGGCCAGCAGAAAAAGTCTGCCACAGAATACTCGGTAGCTTCCTAAACTCGATTAAGGTGACAGCCTGGTCTCTGGGTGGTAGTTTAAAGGACCCCAGCACTGTTAAGCTGCAGGAGCTGATTCTTAAGAGACTTTTAATTTCCCTTCTGCTGCCAAGAGAAGTGATGCAGCAGAGTCACTATGCAGCAGTTAATTCAGCTTTATCCTGGAGAAAACAAGAGTGACTTTTTCCTTTTTTAGATAAGCCCATGGACTTCATCGCACAAGCCAAAATATGCCACCAGCCCAAGCAATGTGGCATCGTGCATGGCAGCAGCCAAATCTCATGGATGGTATTTGTAGCTTGTGGAGCCTGACTGTACTAGGAGAGGGGTTTCTAAATGATGACAGAAGGTTGTTCATTCGTGATTTGCCAAGTTCTCCACACTCTACTAGGTGGCTGTGGAAATCAATTTCTCAGCCCTTTTGAGGAGGACAACTTTGTCATGCAAGCAGAGAGTGGGTAGTTGCTTCGGTGTTTATATATTGATCAATGTATCCTAACGAGTCACATTAATGACGGTTTCCCACCAAGAACAACCACCACCACCCCCCACCACCCCGCTAAACAATCTCAGCTTAGTGTAGGGCATGGGAAATAGTCTCAGGTGTAAAAATTGCTTTTCATGGCTGGGCGCGGTGACTCACGCTTATAATCCCAGCACTTTGGGAGGCTGAGGCAAGTGGATCACTTGAGAGGTCAGGAGTTCGAGACCAGCCTCGCCAACATGGCAAAACCCCATCTCTACTAAAAACACAAAAAATTTAGCTGGGTGTGGTGGCACATCACAGCTACTCAGGAGGCTGAGGCAGGAGAATCACTTGAACCCAGCGGGTGGAGGTTGCAGTGAGCCGAGGTGGAGTCACTGCATTCCAGCCTGGGAGACAGAACAAGACTGTCTTAAAAAAAAAAAAAATCTGCTGTTAGTTTGCAAGAGTTGTGTGCCTAGGACGTCGCCTGCCCAGTTCAGCTACTTTTCACTAGTTTGGGAATCTGGAAGAAGGGAGTGGAAAGATGAATAATCTAGATGCAGGCTGGAGTACAGTGGTACAATCACAGCTCACTGCAGTCTTGAACTCCTGGGTTCACGCAATCCTCCCACCTCAGCCTCCCAAATAGCTGGGACTACAGGTGTGCACCACCATGCCCAGCTAATTGAAAACAATTTTTTTTTTTTTGGTAGAGATTGGGTCTGGCCATGTTGCCCAGGCTGGTCTTGAACTCCTGACCTCAAGCATTCCTCCCACTTCAGCCTCCCAAAGTGGTGGGATTACAGATGTGAGCCACCACACCCAACCAAGGGGTTGATTTTTATGTTGCTTTTTAAATTAAGGCCATTGACATTTTTTTTTTTTTAAAGACGGAGTCTCCCTCTATCGCCCTGGCTCGAGTGCAGTGGCGCAATCTAGGCTCACTGCAAGCTCCGCCTCCCGGGTTCACGCCACTCTCCTGCCTCAGCCTCAGAGTAGCTGGGACTACAGGCACCCACCACCATGCCCGGCTAAATTTTTTGTATTTTTAGTGGAGATGAGGTTTCACCATGTTACCCAGGATGGTCTCGATCTCCTGACCTCATGATCTACCCACCCTGGACTCCCAAAGTGCTGTGATTACAAGAGTGAGCCACCACGCGCGCCCCTGACACTTTTTGAGATGGAGTCTCGCTCTGTTGCCCAGGCTAGAGTGGCGCGATCTCGGTTCATTGCAAGCTCTGCCCCCCGGGTTCATGCCATTCTCCTGCCTCAGCCTCCCGAGTATCTGGGACTACAGGCGCCCGCCACTACGCCTGGCTAATTTTTTTTTTTGTATTTTTAGTGGAGACAGGGTTTCACCGTGTTAGCCAGGATAGTCTCGATCTCCTGACTTCGTGATCTGCCCGTCTCGACCTCCCAAAGTGCTGGGATTACAGGCGTGAGCCACCGTGCCTGGCCCACTTTCTTTTTTGAGATGGAGGCTTGCTCTGTCGCCCAGGCTAGAGTACAATAGCACGATCTCAGCTCACTGCAACCTCTGCCTCCCAGGTTCAAGCGATTCTCCCACCTCAGCCTTCCCAGGAGCTGGGATTACAGGAACCCACCATCATGCCCCGCTAATTTTTGTATTTTTGTACAGGCAGGGTTTCACCATGTTGGCCAGGCTGGTCTTGAACTCCTGACCTCAGGTGATCTGCCCACTTCAGCCTCCCAAAGTGCTGGGATTACAGGCGTTGAGCCACCGTGCCTGGCTGACACTTTCTTAGATTATTAGAGACATGCTCCCAAGTAAATGTCAGTCAGAGACACAAATTTCACACAGGGCAGAATAATTTCCAAGTTTGGCTATTTTAATTCAATTTCACTGTTCAAGGTAGTATGGATATATTAAGTGGTTCATTTCCATCCTGAAGAAAACAGCTTCTGTCTGATGTGATATTGTGAAATTCAAACATGACTCCTTGTTTTTATAACACACACACACACACACTTTCTTTACGTATCTTGGTAAGATTTTTTGTTCTTGAACTTTTTTTTTTAAACCTTCAAGTAGTTTGGAAACATTTGCCTATTTGCTCATTCCTCTGGGCACAGCCTTTCAGAGCATTTATCCCACCTGTGCTGAAAAATCTGTTTTCCCAGGTGGTGGTGGAGCCGCTGGATAGAGGGGATCACAGAGAAATGAGTGAGCGAGCTTTGTAAACTACTTCTAATTCTCTTCATTAGTATGCTATGATCCACCGCAGCTTCTGCAAGGTCAGACATGCAAGACAACTACTTGGCCAAAACAGCAGGATTCTAACTAGTGTAAAAATAGATTTTAAATAAAATAGAATCTCTATAGGAAAGAGAATTAGGTTATGCTTTACATTCCCACTCTTAAGATATCTGTATATATAAGTCCAAGAGAGACTCAAAGAGTTGGTCTGCCCTAAGTAAAAATTAATGTCTGAGTACATTCATTTTGCAACATTACAGGTAAAGTTTTTTGGGAAATGCTGCAGCATATCCCACAAAAATGGACGGTGATTAGCAATACAGTTGAGGTGCTAACAAGTAACATGTAAGACATTTAGGTCAAAGGGGATGAGGTCTAATTACAGGCTAAAAACCTATTCTGAAATGTGATCATTTGAAAACCTTTGGCTAATTAGAAAGCAAAAACCAAAACCCCTCATTTAACAATACATCTTGCTAACCTATCCCTCTACCTCTTCAAGAAACTAAATTCTAACACAGGTCTTAAGTTTGCTCAATTACTGCAGGTTATGAATTACTTGACATTTATGGTTCCAGAGAGAGTACACAGCCCCTCTGTTGGCCCACACAAGCGTTATATGACTGTTGTAAAGGGGGCTCTGTTGAAATTCTAATTTTAGGATTTAGAAACAGCCTTTGGTTATATCTTGAAAGCATAATTGAAAATCTGCCCAAGCTCCCTCTAGCTGCAACCTGAACATGCAGCCCAATATTTTGTAAACATTTAGAAAACACTGAACCCAGCAAAATACACAATTAGCTAGTCAGAGGCCTCACTCTACATTTTCACATGGATGAGAAATCTCCCCACTCAGTCTTGCTAGATGCTAGGATATCCACTCTGAGATTTGAGTTTGGGAACAGCCATTAAGCCTACTCCTTAATTGCGGTTCATAATGACGTATGAAGTCACCAAAAATAAACAGTGGAGCTGCCACCATTTTTCCTACACTGAGTCTACCTAATGTGCCCCGGGTTGTTTGTTTTTCCTGGCTAGCCCCAGAGCAAGAAGAGATGACTGCTGGTAAAGAGCCAGGGCCCGGTTTACTACCAGGCCTCTTTTCAGATAACATTCAAGCAATTCCTCCACTCCCTAGAGGAAGGGGGAGATGATAATGATATGACACTATTGCTAGGGAATTTTCATAACTCCTTAGTAGCCAATGGAAACCTCTCTTTAAAGCAGCTGTCATGACCTCAGAGAGGTTTGGTGCTTTAGTGCTAGATAACCTTACCTTTGAGGTTACAAGAAATAACTTAACATCTTAAACCTACCCCAGAACTGAATGTCAAATACACCAACTCCATAAATACAACGGAAAAATGCACAGCAGAGTTGGGGTTTCTACCAAGCAGGAAGGCAAAATGGTCATTAGAATGTCTGAGGTTAGGGAACTCTTAAGACCTTTTCAAACGCAGCCCCTTTCCATCAGCTCTCCAGTCAGCACCCTCTACATTCACTACATCACACAACAGCAAATGAAAGAGCCAAACAACTGTGGCTTGATCCTCACTTGTACTTATTAGGGCCCACCCTCACATTTAGCTGAAGGTCCCAGCACACCCTCACGGTGCCAGGGAGAAGAGTCTCGGGGATGTCTGTTGCTCTGAAGGTCACTTGCCCCTCTTGCTGCGGCCCTTCCTGGAGGACAACTTCCCACTGCCGCCAGAAGAGGCAGGGCTCGAAGCTGAGGCCATGGCGATGTTGATCTGTCCCTCCTGGATTTCCTGCCGGGTCTCGGCAGGCAGATGGTTGATCTTCTGCTGTGTCTCCAGGTAGAACATGACATCACGCAGCTGCTCCTGGATCTCGGTGATCTGCAGATCTTTTTGGTCACAGGTCTCTTTCAACACCCTCTCCTCCTCTTTTAACTTGTTCTGCAAGAGGACTTGGTTGGCTCGCAAACACTTGTTCATTTCCTGCTCCTCTTTGAGCTCGTTGGTGAGTTTGGCCACTTTCGTGTTTAGCTGAGTGCACCTTTAGAAAAACAAAGGAAGACAAAAGCACATTTTTCATTTGCTGACACAGTCCCCTTTCTGCTCTGGGATTGAACAGAGAAACCATGACTTCAGAATCCCTTTAGGACAGACCCCTTTCTCCCATGATGAGGGAGACTGGTTTGTTGCCATCGCAATCAGCTACGCAAAGCAAGAATTTTGCTTTACTTAACACAAGCGTATTTTTTTTTTTGAGATGGAGTTTCGCTCTTGTTGCCTAGGCTAGAATGCAATGGCACGATCTCAGCTCACTGCAACCTCCACCTCCTGGGTTCAAGTGATTCTCCTGCCTCAGCCTCCCAAGTACCTGGGATTACAGGCACCCGCCACCATGCCTGGCTAATTTTTGTATTTTTAGTAGAGACTAGGTTTCGCCATGTTGGCCAGACTGGTCTTGAACTCCTGACCTCAGGTGATCCACCTGCCTTGGCCTTCCACGGTACTGGGATTAAAGGCATGATGTACTGCGCCAGTCCACAAGTGTACTATATATTTATTTATTTTTTGAGATGGAGTCTCACTCTGTTGCCCATGCTGGAGTGCAGTGGCGTGATCTTGGCTCGCTGCAACCTCTGCTGCCTGGGTTCAAGCAATTCTCCTGCCTCAGCCTCCCAAGTAGCAGGGATTACAGGTGCCTGCCACTGTGCCCAGCTAATTTTTGTATTTTTAGTAGAGACAGGGTTTCACCATGTTCCCAGGATGGTCTCAATGTCTTGACTTCATGATCCACTGCCCTCAGCCTCCCAAAGTGCTGGGATTACAGGTGTAAGCCAGCGCGTCCAGCCCACAAATGTACTTTTAAGACACTTTTTAAAAAAGCATCAGAAATGTTTCAGTAGCAGAAACTATTCTGTGACTGATGGTAAAAATTCTACTGCTTGTTTTGCAGTCAGTGGTTAAATAGGTGCCTTGCAGATGATAACTGTGATAAGGAAGTTATGAGGAAAAGTGGCATTCTTGGAGAGTCAAGTACTCTGACTTCATTGCATTTGCTGAAGGGAAAAAAAAGTACACTTATTCTAACCAAAGGGCTTTAGACTTGGGAGTGCCCTCTTCTTGATGTCCAGTCTTACTCATAAGTAAAGAATTGCAGCTCTTCCACAAGAGGCCTACACACCGCTGCTTGTGCTGCCGCCGTGTCTCTAGTGATCCCTGAAAAGTTCCAGCATATTTTGCGAGTACTCAACACCAACATTGATGGGCGGCGGAAATAGTCTTTGCTGTCTGTTATTAAGGGTGTGGGCCGAAGATATGCTCATATGGTGTTGAGGAAAGCAGACATTGACCTCACCAAGAGGGCGGGAGAACTCACTGAGGATGAGGTGGAACGTGTGATCACCATTATGCAGAATCCATGCCAGTACAAGATCCCAGACTGGTTCTTGAACAGACAGAAGGATGTAAAGGATGGAAATATAGCCAGGTCCTAGCCAATGGTCTGGACAACAAGCTCCGTGAAGACCTGGAGCGACTGAAGAAGATTCGGGCCCATAGAGGGCTGCGCCACTTCTGGGGCCTTCGTGTCCAAGGCCAGCACACCAAGACCACTTGCCGCCGTGGCCGCAACGTGGATGTATCCAAGAAGAAGTAAGTCTGTAGGCCTTGTCTGTTAATAAATAGTTTATATATCAAAAAAAAAAAAAAAAAAGAATTGCAAATGAAACCATCATTTGAGGCCAGGTGCGTTGGCTCATGCTTGGAATCCCAGCACTCCAGGAGGCTGAGGCGAGAGGATCGCTTCAGCAAATGAAAGAGGAAATGAGTTCGAGACCAGCCTGGGCAACAAAGTAAGACCCTGTCTCTACACAAAATCAAAAAAATTAGCCAGGTGTGGTAGCGTGCACCGGTGGTCCCAGATTTACAGGAGGCTGAAGCTGGAGGATTGCTTGATCCCAGCAGGTCAAGGCTGAAGTGCGCTGTGTTCATGCTACTGCACTCCAGCCTGGGTGACAGAACGAGACCTTGTCTCAAACAACCCACACCATCTGAGACCCAGTAGAGTGGCTCATGTCTGTAATACCAGCACTATGGAAGGCAAAAGTGGGAGGGTCACTTAAGGCCAGGAGGGTCGCTTTGAAACCAGCCTGGTCAACATAGTGAGACACCATCTCTACAAAAGAAACATTAAATAAATTAGCTATTTAATTTAAAGTGTGGTGATGTGCACTTGTAGACCCAGCTAATTGGGAGGCTGAGGCAGAGGATTGCTTGAGCCCAGGAATTTGAGCCTGCAGTGGGCTGTGATTGCACCACTGCACTCCAGCCTGTTTGACAGAATAAGACCCTGTCTCAAAAAAAATAACAAAAAACAAAAGCACACACACACAAAAAACACAAACAAAAAAACCCCACTATTTAAGATACTATTTTTATGTATCAGAACACCCAAGAGCTGAGACATGAGAAAAGAGGCACTTACATACTGGCACAGGAGCATGAACTGGTATAAACTCTTTCGAAGACAACTTGGCAATATCTATAAAAATTAAAAATTTGGGCCAGGCACGTTGGCTCATGCCTGTTATCCCAGCACTTTGGGAGGCCAAGGAGGGTGGATCATGAGGTCAGGAGTTCAACATCAGCCTGGCCAACATGGTGAAACTCTGTTTCTACTAAAAATACAAAAATTAGCCGGGTGTGGCAGTGTGTGCCTGTAATCCCAGCTACTCGGGAGGCTGAGGCAGAAGAACTGCTTGAACCTGGGAGGTGGAGGTTGCGGTGAGCCAAGATCATGCCGCTGCACTCCAGCCTGTGCGACAGAGCAAGATTCCGTCTCAAAAAAATAATAATAATAAAATAAATAAATAAATAATTGCATTCCCTTTGACACAGATACTTCATTTCTAGGAATTTATCCCATAGAATATACATACTCAGGATTGGGCAAAAAGAGACATGGAGAAAGATGCTCTTTACAGTATTGCTTATAGTACTGTGAGATTTGACACAACCTGACACAATCAATAGGGAACTGGTCAAAATTACTATGGTAGGCCAGATGCAGTGGCTCATGCCTATAATCCCAGCATTTTTGGAGGCCAAGACAGGAGGATCACTTGGGGCCAAGAGTTCAAAACTAGCCTGGGCAATATGGCAAGACCCCATCTCTACAAAAAAATTTTAAATTGGGCAGGCATGGTGGCACACACCTGTAGTCCTAGCTACTCAGGAAGCTCAGACTAGGAGGATCACTTGAGCCCAGGAGCTGGAGGTTGCAGTGAGCTATGATTACACCACTGTACTCCGGCCTAGGCAACACAGCAAGACCTTATTTCAACAACAACAACAACAAAAATAATTATGGTACATCCATGCAATGAAACAGCATGCAGATGTTACACAAAGATCAGGACAGATTTAGATGTGCTAGTATGAAAAAAAGTCCAAAAACATATTTTATCAAAGATAACACCTACATTCTATTTTTGCAGAGAAAAGATTATGCATGTGAGATATTTATGTGGGCAGAGCTAAACATCTAGAATAAATATTCACTAGTACTGGATAATAATGGTTAACACTAGATAGCAGGATCTAGGGGGTGAAAAAGAACTTCCTGTTTTGCAGGGTGTGGTGGCCCACACCTGTAATGGTAAAACAGTCTCTACAAAAAATTAGCCAGAGGCCAGGTGCGGTGGCTCACGCCTGTAATCCCAGCACTTTGGCGGGTGGATCACCTGAGGTCGGGAGTTTGAGACCAGCCTGACCAACATGGAGAAACCCCGTTTCTACTAAAAATACAAAATTAGCCAGGCATGGTGGCACACGCCTGTAATTCCAGCTACTCCGGAGGCTGAGGCAGGAGAATCGCTTGAACCTTGGAGGCAGAGGTTGCGGGGAGCTGAGATCACGCCATTGCAGCCTGGGCAACAAGAGTGAAACTCCGTCTCAAAAAAAAAAAAAAAAAATTAGCCAGGGCTGATGGTGCACAGCTGTAGTCCAGCTACTTGGGAGGCTGAGGTGGGAGCATCACCTGAGCCTAGGGAGGTGGAAGATGTAGTGAGCTGGCCGAGTGCAGTGGCTTATGCTTGTAATCCCAGCACTTTGGGAGGCTGAGGCGGGGGGATCATGAGGTCAAGAGATCCAGACCATCCTGGCCAACATGGTGAAACCCCATCTCTACTAAAAATACAAAAATTAGCTGGGCGTGGTGGCGTGCTCCTGTAATCCTAGCTACTTGGGAGGCTGAGGCAGGAGAATCGCTTGAATCCAGGAGGCGGAGGTTGCAGTGAGCTGAGATCGCGCCATTGCACTCCAGCCCGGGTGACAGGGAGAAAGACCCTGTCTCCAAAAAAAAAAAAAAAAAAAAACCCTTCCAGTTTAAACTCTATTCTTTATTCTTTAACACAGTTGTTCAATTTGTTAGGGTGCTGAAAGTATAGGGTAATTTAAAATTTTTACTTCTATTAATTTTGTAGTGTTGTTTTTACAATAGCTTAAAAAAAATTTATTTTTGTTGAGACAGGGTCTCGCTGTTGCCCAGGTTGGAGTGCAGTGGTGAGATGTTGGCTCACTGCAGCCTCTGCCTCCCGGACTCATGTGATCCTCCTACCTCAGCCTCCTGAGTAGCAGGGACTACAGGTATGCACCACCATGCCCAGCTAATTTTTGTATTTTTAGTGGAGATGGGGTTTTATCATGTCGTCCAGGTTGGTCTTGAATTCCTGGGCTCAAGCAACCTGCCGGCCTCAGCCTCCCAAAGTGCTGGGATTACAGGCGTAAGCCATCATGCCTGGCTGGTAATTTCAATCAGTAGCAACTATCTTCCTAAATAATAGTAAATAAGGAATGTTATTGCTATGCTGTTTATGAGTTTTATGCTCCATATTCAACATCTTTTGCCTTTAACTCCTGCCCAAGGCCACAGTATATAACATTTCCAGCTTAGACACAGTCTCCTTCCTAACTGCCAGTTCACAGCCACAATGGCTCAAAGAAGCCAAAGGCTCTGGATGGAAGAAAATTGCTTTTCACAGGCAAAAATGGAAGATATCTGCACACACTTCAGGCGCACAGACATCAGGAGAGAGCATTGCATTCCACATGGCATCCATCTGGTATGAAACCCCACATTTTTTAATAAATGAGAAGCCTGTTCCATACATAGGGAGACTCCTGAAAACCTGGTGATACGTATATTTGAAAATGAGGGTGTTTCCATAGGAATGAAAGAAACTGTCTGTTTATAGAGCCTGTTACAACAGAATAGACCAATTGTACCTACCTTCTTTCCACAGACTGCTTTTCCTTTAGGAGATCATTTAGTTTGTGCTCTAGATTATCACACTTCTCAATTGTTTCTTTAAACTTGGTCTTCATGTTGTTAATCTGAGGGAGCAAACAGAAATCAGATTCATTTCACAAAGGTAATGTGGTGTGCTCTCTGGGGCTAACATCATATTTTCCCCCCCCAATTATATGTATGTAACTTTGACAAATCAAAATTAGAAAAGGTAATGGCAGTTTCCAGACAGGGAAAAAATATAAAGAAAAGGTGAGGTAATCATTTGAAAGAATTTCTGTAATAAGATTAAAAATGCCGGGAGATCTTTTTTTTTTCTTTTTTTGAGACGGAGTCTTGCTCTGTCTCCCAGGCTGCAGTGCAGTGGCATGATCTTGGCTCACTACAATCTCTGCCTCCTCGGTTCAAGCGATTCTCCTGCCTCAGCCTCCCGAGTAGCTGGGATTACAGGCACGTGCCACCATGCCTGGCTAATTTTTGTATTTTTAGTAGAGATGTGTTTTCACCATGTTAGCCAGGCTAGTCTTGAACTCCTGACCTCAGCTGATCTACCCGCCTCGGCTTCCCAAAGTGCTAGGACTACAGGTGCCTGCCACCATGCCCGGCTAATTTTTGTATTTTTAGTAGAGACAGGGTTTCACCATGTTGGCCAGGCTGGTCTCAAACTTCTGACCTCAGGTGATCCACCTGCCTCGGCATCCCAAAATGCTGGGATGACAGGCATGAGCCACTATGCCCGGCCTAATTTTTTTTTTATTTTTTTTGAGATGGAGTCTCGCTCTGTTGCCCAGGCTGGAGTGCAGTGGTGCGATCTCGGCTCACTGCAAGCTCCGCCTCCCAGGTTCACGCCATTCTCCTGCCTCAGCCTCCTGAGTAGCTGGGACTCTAGGCGCCCGCCACCACGCCCGGCTGATTTTTTGTATTTTTAGTAGAGACAGGGTTTCACCGTGTTAGCCAGGATGGTCTCGATCTCCTGACCTCGTGATCCGCCCGCCTTGGCTTCCCAAAGTGCTGGGATTCTAGGCGTGAGCCACCGCGCCTGGCAATTTTTGTATTTTTTAGTAGAGATGCCATGTTGGCCAGGTTGGTCTCAAACTCCTGACCTCAAGTGATCTGCTCACCTCGGCCTCCCAAAGTGCTGGGATTACAGGTATGAGCCACCACGCCTGACCTAATTTTTGTATTTTTTGTAGAGACAAACATTGGTAATATAAGAAACTTGTGACAGTTGACTCTAGTCGTTTATTTTTTCCAATTCCCAATAATTTTTTCAAGTATCACGAAGCCACATGTAACATAAGCAGTCCATGGTCTTTTGAGTCTATTTATAAAATCAACATACATAGACTAATTCATATTACACAGCCTTAAAAACATAAGAGAATTTAAAAATTCTGATGTATAACATGTCAGATGGCAGCAATCCTATCCCAGAGTATTTTGGAGTCTGGCTAGGTAGATACTGGATCCACTCCTGTGTGAAGATCTGCGAACTTGGGAATTTCCTCAACTCCACTGGTATGAGGACACTGGCAAAAGATTAGGTGGGAAGGCAAAGTCGGGAGGCTGGGTGAACCACAAGGCAATATAACAGGAACTGAAAGTGGCTGAGAATTTAGGTCATACAGCCCAGGGATCAGCTGGACCTTTCTTTTTAATCATTTTCTATACAGCCTGCCTAGCAAGTCTCTAATAACACTAGCTTTAATAATAATAATAATAATAATGATAATAAGCCGGGCACGGTGGCTCACCCCTGTAATCCCAGCACTTTGGGAGGCCGAGACGGGTGCATCACGAGGTCAGGAGTTCGAGACCAGCCTGGCCAAGATGGTGAAACCCCGTCTCTACTAAAAATACAAACATTAGCCGGGCACGGTGGCAGGTGCCTGTAATCCCAGCTACTCAGGAGGCTGAGGCAGGGAGGGGCTTGAACTAGGGAGGTGGAGGTTGCAGTGAGCCAAGATCTCGCCACTGCACTCTAGCCTGGGTGACAGAGCAAGACTCCATCTCAAAAAAAATACAATACAATACAGTAAAACAAAAATAAATGTTCCATTCAAATTAACTTTACAGTCAACCTCCATTGGAAGAACACGGAAGAGAGTTTTTTTTTTTTGAGACGGAGTCTCCTTCTCTCACCCAGGCTGCAGTGCAGTGGCACTATCTTGGCTCATTGCAACCTCCATCTTCCGGGTTCAAGTGATTCTCCTGCCTCAGCCTCCTGGGCAGCTGGGACTACAGGTGCATGTCACCACGCCCAGCTAATTTTTTTATTTTTAGTAGAGAAGGGGTTTCACCATATTGGCCAGGCTGTTCTTGAACTCCTGACCTCATGATCCGCCCACCTCGGCCTCCCAAAGTGCTAGGATTACAGGCGTGAGCCACCACGCCCAGCTGGAAGAGAGATTTCTAAATGTTCTTCTATGTCATAAAAATCAAAATAGCTTTAAAATTGCTCAAATTCTAGTTAGGTATCACTTTTCTCTTCAATATTGTTTTAAAATAACAGAGCACTAGATCCTTTTGAAATTTTCTCCTAAACTGACTTGTCAGTTAAAGGAAGTTGAAAAGACAGAAATTACTATCATAAGGAACCAAATGGTGCATGTCTTGGACAGTAAAGATACTTAAGCTAAACACATTTAAATCAAGATGAAAATATAAAAGTAACCCTAAAAAGGTTTTTTTGTTGTGTGTGTGTTTTTTTTTTTTCTTGAGATGGAGTCTCGCTCTGTCGCCCAGGCTAGAGTGCAGTGGTGCAATCTCAGCTTACTGCAAACTCCGCCTCTCCTGGGTTCACACCATTCTCCTGCCTCAGCCTCCCAAGTAGCTGGGACTATGGGCACCCGCCACCACACCCGGCTAATTTTTTGTATTTTTGGTAGAGACAGGGTTTCACCACATTAGCCAGGATGGTCTTGATCTCCTGACCTTGTGATCTGCCTGCCTTGGCCTCCCAAAGTGCTAGGATTACAGGCGTGAGCCACTGCGCCTGGCCAAAAAGATTTTTAATATTGCTACAGACAAATGTTAACGATTTAAATTAGTGCTTTTTAAAACATTTCTGGTCCAGTGCCATGGCTCACGCCTATAATCCCAGCACTTTGGGAGGGCCGTGGCAGAAGGTTTGTTTGAGCCCAGGAGTTGGAGATCAACCTGGGCAACATAATAAGCGCTCCCCATCTCTTCTTTTTTTTTTTTTTCTTTGAGATGGAGTCTCGCTCTGTTGCCCAGGCTGGAATGCAGTAGCGCAATCTCAAAAAACAAATGAAAAATTCTGACCATTAGCCCACAGTAAGAAACATCCATGCCACACACAAACCTGAAATGAGTTTCACAAAACAATATTGTCGGCGGGGCGCAGTGGCTCATGCCTGTAATCCCAGCACTTTGGGAGGCCGAGATGGGCGGATCACGAGGTCAGGAGATCGAGACCATCCTGGCTAACACGGTGAAACCCCGTCCTACTAAAATTACAAAAAATTAGCCGGGTGTGGTGGTGGGTGCCTGGAGTCCCAGCCACTCGGGTGGCTGAGGCAGGAGAACGGCATGAACCTGGGAAGTAGAGTTTGCAGCAAGCCGAGATGTCACCACTGCACTCCAGCCTGGAAGATAGAGCAAAACTCCATCTCAGGAAAAAAAAAAAAAAAAAAAAAAGTTAATTGTAATACACCCTAATATTTACATCTACACTATTTTATCTAATAAAAATGCTAGTTGTGGTCCACCAAACTCATTTTACAATCCACAGCTGGCAAAATACTGATTAACATGAAGCTAGACATCCACAAGAAAAGATATACTTCTAGAGGAGTTCACCTTACGACTACCTCTACCTACCATGTGTTCTTCATATATGGCCATGAAAACTAAGAACCTTTGAGTGTCTGTGAGCTTCGTCACCTAGAATAGGCTCTGCTCACATGCTACTATAACAGCCCTACCTAAGGCACTGGGGGAAAGAAACAGTGTTTATAACTGAAGCCTACAACGAATTTCAACCTTGATCCACACCCCTCCTTCATACCAACAGGAGGCCCACAAACAAGAATCTCTGTCAGTGAGACCCAGGGTCTGGGTTACTGGTACTCCCTGAACATGTTCTACTGCTGGGGGTGCTAACGGACAAGAGACTGGCCAAAAGAAGGACAGTGGTGGAACAAAAGGTTTGCATCATCAATTAACTTATGGATAAATGACATTTGTTACCAGAAAACAAAAGCATCCTTTTTTAAGCACCTCAAGCGTTTTATTTAGAGCTGCTCTGGCTTCCATTTCACCTGACCTAAAAGCAAACATGAGTTTCAGTGTTTCGTTTCCCTGCCCCTTGACTTGCTTTTCATTGGCATGTTTTAGGGAATGAAGTTAACCCTAAAGAATCCTACAGGGCAGAGAGAATCCTGAGCTTAGCTCTCAAGCATCTGGATGAAGCACTTGAGATAGTCACGCTGGTATATCCCATGGAAAAACCCATGAGTGCAGCTGCAGCAGAGTTGCCAATGCACTTCCTGTGAGCCATGACTTTACAGTATGCGGCAGTGACCTGTGCTCTGCCTCCATCAAGAGCATTGGGAGGCGGTCCTCCCTGCACATACTCTAATCAAGCCCTATTCAGAACTAGTAAAGTCAAGTGACCTTGAGTGCCTTCGGAAGGGCACTTGCGTTGATTAGAAGGCTCTTGTAAGAATTTCATCCATAACTTTTAACTGCGAATCATTTTAAAACTGATTTTTTTTTTTTGAGATGGAGTCTCAGTTTGTTGCCCAGGCTGGAGTGCAGTGGTGTAATCTTGGCTCACTGCAACCTCTGCCTCTTGGGCTCAAGCAATTCTCTTGCCTCAGCCTCCTGAGTAGCTGGGATTACAGGCGCCTGCCAGCACGCCTGACCAATTTCTGTATTTTTAGTAGAGATTGGGTTTCGCCATGTTGGCCAGGCTGGCCTTGAACTCCTGACCTCAAGTGATCTGCCTGCCTCAGACTCCCAAAGTGCTGGGATTACAGGTGTGAGCCACTATACCAGGCCTAAAGCTGATGTTAAGCATTAATTTTTACAAACCCTGATTTTGCCCACTTATGGCATATCCAGAAACTGGGGCCCATGGCCCTGCCTGCTAAGATCCAGGATATTCCTAGCCACCTCAGAGGTGGGCCCCAAGCCCAGCTCTGTACTGCCTATCTGAAGGCCCAAGTACAGGTGGGGACTCACAAAGTTACTAAAGTAATCGAGAAATTTTACAAGATTTTATTTCATACTAAGGTAATCACTGAATTACAGACAGTGTCCCTAGGTCCAAAGAAATGTTCCTAGAGCCATAATTATACACAATTATACACAGGTGCTTACTAGTTTTCAGACTACCTTCTTTGGAAGTCACAGGGTTCCTTGCACATACTGGAGACAGAGCTCTGGGCCTTCCATCTAAGTTTCCACCAAAATCATACCACTGTTTAATTTTGCTAAAGTAGTGAATGGCATCTTTTTTAAAGGACTATTTCATTAAAATTTGAAAACTGCTGCCCTAGACCTTCAGGGTTAATAATGAAGTGCCAATATCTCTGCCCAATTTTATTTCCTTCCATTTAAAAGGGCTCTGCGCCATTTCACTGCCTTAGAAGTTCATGTTTAGCTCCCAAAGGCAACGGTTCCCAAGTGCCTGACTCAAAATGACAAACCCTTAAGTAGATACTTCTGTCTTTTTAGTGGAATTTCACTAAAAAACTAGAAAACCAGATTGAGGTTTAAAAAAAAAAAAAAAAAAGCAAACAAAACCCCCTAAAACCCTAAAATATCAAAACAGTCAAGCCTTTAAATCCAAAGTTTCTTTTTAGTGGCAAAAGTTTTCCACCTGTTACCAGCCTGAGACGGGAAGATGGTAAGATTCCTCTTTCCCTGTACTCTGCCTTCCACACCCCCCATCAGAGTGCCCTGCCATGTGGCATTTCAGCAGTCACCAAACCAAACAGACTTACTTCCTCTGCTGTGTCCTTCTCTATCCGAACTATCTTGTTTTCCCAGTAGATTCGCTGAGATTCCAGCTGACTTGTTAGTAAATATGAATACTAGAAACATAGAGAATAAAGACCAAAATGTAAGTCACTGTTGTCAATCTCTGAAATCCAATTTAAAAATCTGATCTTTAATGATCCACAGAAAACTAAAACTAACCAACAGAATGTATATTTACACCGTGGTTCCACTTTTCTCAATATATACTGGACGAGGGGACAGAAATGACATTATGCTTCTGTCCTCCTGCGGTTTACAATCTAGTCAGAATAAATGTACTTATAAAAAAATGTATTCTGGTCAAGCTGACTTTAACAAGAACCACAGTGGTTTTAGATCTATGTATAACTCAAACTTACCTGTCTCCCTGCCCCCATGAAGCAGTCCTGTCCCATCCTGTCCCACCCAGCACTTGAGTCAGGCGCCCCCTTTCAGCTCCCTTAGCACTGTGCCTATCAGTAACAGCACTCAGGACAGCAATACTTCATCACCAATTTACCTGCCTGTCTCCCTGACTGGACTGTGAACTCTTTGAAAGTGAGGGTTATATCTCTACTGCTGTATCTCCAGTGCCTGGCACACGGTGGACGTCAAGAACTGTTTGCTGCGTGACTGCATGAATCAATGAACAGTGCTGTGTAACCACAGGGAAGGGACAGATGGCATATGACAGTAAGATCTGAGAGAAGGCGAGATTTGAGAGGGCACTAACAGATAGGAGGAGAACAGATAAAGACAGAGATCCGAGTCCAGAGAACTACTTGGCCAAGACAGAACTGTGGACATTAGAATCTCTTCAGAAATGAACGAGTAACACTAATAAGGCTGGTGTGCCAGGTTAGAAGACATGGCGCCAGTGGAAGGCTTTGGGGTATTATAATATCGACAAATATGGGCAACGGGGAACCCAAGGCCAAGGAGTGGTAAGGTCACATCTCCATTTTGGAAAAACCATTCTAGAAGACTAGAAGAGATATAAACGTGTCTGCAGGCTACAGAGAGGGCAAGGAGAAGAATGTCTATGCTACTGAACCCTAAGCTCCACAAGAGCAGGGAGTTTGTTCAATGCTGTGTTTGCAGCACTAGCACCAGTGGGTGAGAGCAAATATTTTTCTTTTTCTTTTTTTTTTTTTTTTTTTGTTTAAACGTGGGTCTCACTCTGTTTCCCAGGTTGGAATGCAGTGGTGCAATCATGGCTCACTGCAACCTCAACCTCTTGGGCTCAAGGGATTCTCCTGCCTCAGCCTCCTGAGTAGCTGGGACTACAGGTGCATGCCACCACACCTGGCTAATTTGTTTTTAAATTTTATTTTTAGTAGAGACAAGGTCTTGTTATGTTACTGAGGCTGGTTTTGAACTCCTGAACTCAAGCGATCAAGCCTTGGCCTCCTGAAGTGGTGGGATTACAGGCATAAGCCACCACGCCTGGCTAATAAATATTTCTTTCTTTTGGAGACGGCGTTTCGCTCGTCACCCTGGGCTGGAGTGCAATGGTACCATCTCAGCTCACCGCAACCTTCGCCTCCCAGGTTCAAGAGATTCTCCTGCCTCAGCCTCTCAAGTATCTGGGATTATAGGCGCCCACCACCACACCCAACTAATTTTTGTATTTTTAGTAGAAGTGGGGTTTCATGTTGGCCTGGCTGGTCTCAAACTCCTGATCTCAGGTGATCCACCCACCTCGGCCTCCCAAAGTGCTGGGATTACAGGCGTGAGTCACCGTGCCCGGCCAGTATTTCCTGTATGAACAGAATGCATGTACATACTTAATGTGGAGGATGTACTTATTCTAAATACTTAAAAGTGTTTGATCTTTTTTTATTAATACAAAAATTTATTAAAGATAACAATATAAACCTCATTTTAGGCCATTTTACAGACTATCAGACTTTTAAAAGTCTTGAAATAAGCAAGTTTTCAAACGTCCATTTCCTCCTAAGGTTAAGGTATGTTTCTAAAACAACCTTTTTCAAAATGTATATAAAACATGACTCGTGGCCGGGTGCGGTGGCTCAAGCCTGTAATCGCAGCACTTTGGGAGGCCAAGACGGGCGGATCACGAGGTCACAAGATCAAGACGATCCTGGCTAACACGGTGAAACCCCGTCTCTACTAAAAAAAAAAAAAAATACAAAAAAACTAGCCGGGCGAGGTGGCGGGCGCCTGTAGTCCCAGCTACTCGGGAGGCTGAGGCAGGAGAATGGCGTAAACCCGGGAAGCGGAGCTTACAGTGAGCTGAGATCGCGCCACTGTACTCCAGCCTGGGCAACACAGCGAGACTCCGTCTAAAAAATAAATAAATAAAAAAAAAAATAAAAACATGACTCGTTGCCAGGTACAGTGGCTCACGCCTGTAATCCCAGCACTTTCGGAGGCCGAGGCAGGCAGACCACGAGGTCAGAGGTCAGGAGATTGAGACCATCCTGGTTAACATGGTGAAACCCTGTCTATACTAAAAATACAAAAAATTAGCTGGGCATGGTGGCACGCGCCTGTAGTCCCAGCTACTCAGGAGGTTGAGGCAGGAGAATTGCTTGAACTCGGGAGGCAGAGGTTGCAGTGAGCCAAGACTGTACCACTGTACTCTAGCCTGTAGCTATGGGAAGACAATCTCAACACTGAACTTGAGACAACTACAGATATCACAATGAAAGATGAAAGTAATAAGTCACTAACAGTGAAACTTAAGACTTTTTTTTTTTTTTTTTTTTTTGGAGACGGAGTCTCGCTCTGTCGCCCAGGCTGGAGTGCAGTGGCCGGATCTCAGCTCACTGCAAGCTCCGCCTCTCGGGTTCACGCCATTCTCTTGCCTCAGCCTCCCAAGTAGCTGAGACTACAGGCGCCCGCCACCATGCCTGGCTAATTTTTTGTATTTTTTAGTAGAGACAGGGTTTCACTGTGTTAGCCAGGATGGTCTCGATCTCCTGACCTCGTGATCCGCCCTTCTCGGCCTCCCAAAGTGCTGGGATTATAGGCTTGAGTCACCGCGCCCAGCCTCTTTTTTGTTTTTTTGAGACAGGGTCTTGCTCTGTCGCCCAGGCTAGAATGCAGTGGCACAATCTCAGCCCACTGCAACCCCTGCTTCTCGGGTTCAAGAAATTCTGGTGCCTCAGCCTCCCAAGTAGCTGAGATTATAGCCATGAGCCACCACGCCCGGCTAATTTTAGTAGGGACAGGGTTTCACCATGTTGGCCAGGCTGGTCTCGAACTCCTAACCTCAGGTGATTCACCTGCCTCAGCCTTCCAAAGTGCCGGGATTATAGGCGTGAGCCACTGCGCCCAGCTGAAATTTAGACTTTCAAAAAAGAAAAACAGAATAAAAATATTTTAATAACACTTCACAGCAATGACCGAACATTTTTTTTTTTTTTGAGATAGACTTTCGCTCTTGTTGCCCAAGCTGGAGTGCAATGGCGTGATCTCGGCTCACTGCAACCTCTGCTTCCCAGGTTCAAGCGATTCTCCTGCCTCAGCATCCCAAGTGGCTGGGATTACAGGTGTGTGCCACCATGCCCAGCTAATTTTTTGCATTTTTAGTAGAAATGGGGTTTCACCACGCTAGCCAGGCTGCTCTTGAACTCCGGACCTCAGGTGATCCGCCTGCCTCAGCCTCCCAAAGTGTTGGGATTACAGGCATAAGGCACCGCGCCCAGCCATGACCAAACTTTTTTAAAAAAACGTACATCCAGGTAAATGACAAATATTTCAAATTAGAATAGTAAACAGCAGTAGAAACAGATATTGAGTGATAACTCATTCAGTCTCTTACCTCTAATTGTAAGGCATCTATTTTCTCTTCCTGGCAAGTATCCCCCTCACATTCATACTGTACTATTTTTCCGTCTGTTTTACTGGCAACCAGTCGATGAACATAGTTATCTAAAGAAAGAATCAATAAAAGTGTGTTTCTTTATAATGAAAAGGGTCTCACTTTTAACTCTGACAAAATTTTTGTTTTTTTCAGATCAAATTTAAATGCTTTATAATATTTCTTTAAAAGTGTCAAATCATTTGAATTTTAGAGGGGAGGGAGAAAGGAAGAATGGAAGTATTAACTCCCTTTATAATGTGTATGATTCAAGCCATTCCTAGAAAAATAGTGCCCTCAGGGAAACTGAGAATTTGGGTTTGCAACAGCTGTCAGAAGATGACATTTCAAGCTGGGAGGGAAAGTGAAGAGGTTGCAAAGGCAAAGTTTCCACATAGAATGAGTCCAAATTAGAAAAGAGAGTGGTGTTCACCTCCAGCATAGTCCCAGACTCGATGGTTGGTAAGCTGCATGGCATACGTGTGCTGTGTTTCCTCAAAGTGCTTATAAGCATGTCGACTGACATACCGTCCACATCCTATGTGGCCGCATATTAAACAAATCCAAAGATTCTGCCGGAAGAGGTAAGATCTTAATTAGTTAAATAAAAATAAGTGATCTGGCCGGGCGCGGTAGCTCAGACCTGTAATCCTAGCACTTTGGGAGGCCAAGGCAGGTGGATCACCTGAGGTCAGGAGTTTGAGACCAGCCTGGCCACCATGGTGAAACCCCCATCTCTACTAAAAATACAAATATTAGCTGGGTGTCGTGGCTGGTGCTTGTAATCCCAGCTACTCAGGAGGCTGAGGCAAGAGAATCGCTTGAACCCAGGAGGTGGAGCTTGCAGTGACCCGAAATCATGCCATTGCACTCCAGCCTGGGCGGTAAGAACAAGACTCCGTCTTAAAATAAACAAACAAACAAACAATCAATCCAGCTCACTCAGAGTGGGAGGGGGCCTGAGGCACAAGAAGACAGAATTGCTGGTCTGGCACAGTGGCTCACACCTGTAATCCCAGCATTTTGGGAGGCTGAGGCAGGAGTATCGCTTGAGCCTAGGAGTTTAAGACCAGCTTGAGAAACATAGCAAGACCCCAACTCCACCAAAACAAAACAAAAACACTAGGCCATGGTGGCACGCACCTGTGGTCCCAGCTGCTTGGGAAGCTGAGATGGGAGGAAGGCTTGAGCCCAGGTATTTGAGGTTACAGTGAACTATGATTATGCCACTGCACTCCAGCCTGGGTAACAGAATGACACCCTGTCTCAAAAAAAAAAAAAAAAAAAAAAAAGAGAGAAAGAAAAATCTATTCCTACAGGAGCCTGATTAAATGTATGTTTAAAACCCAACAATCAAGGATGCTTTTTTATGGGTCATTTTTTTGCTAATTTCTAAGAAGCACTTATATGAACAGCAAGAAAAAAATTCACAATTCATCAGTAAAAGCCTAACCCTTTCAAAAGTGCAAAGAAAAAAGGAATAAATTTAGCTCAGGAGTAACATAATTTGTGTATTCATGTCTTGCCCGACCCTAGACAAAAAGAAAAAAAATCAGTCTCAAAACTTTAAAAGAATTTAGGCTGGGTGCAGTGGCTCACACTTGCAATCCCAGCACTGTGGGTGGCTGAGGTGGGAGGAATGCTTAAGACCAGGAGTTCGAGACCAGCCTGGGCAACAGAGTAAGCCCTGTCTCTTAAAATATAAAAAAAAAAAAAATTAAAATAAAGAACTTAAGTCATACCAGGCAGAAGAAAACTCATGACAATTAAAGCTGCGTTCTTTGTTCTTTTCCATCACCCATTACTTACTTCCTGAACACCACACTCAAAACACTTATTTTCTTCTACTGGCTCGGGCGTTTGACAGTACCGGCAAACAGGACACCTATCCAGGACACCAAAAGATAATGGTGCAGGTTAAATATAAATGACAGCTGTTACAGAACCCAAAAGTCAAACACTGGATTTTATATCCTCCTCCTCTTATATGCTATTTTTATCATAACTAAGGATATCACTTAAAATATACAAAATAAAAACATACAAAATCTTGATAAAACAGAGAAGAACAGAGAAATTGGGATCTGCCTCATGTCCTTTTCTGCTCTTCTGTCTAAAGGTTAGATGATCAAAGAGTTAAGTATTTGCAGGTTACAATTAGGACTTCATTTCATGTCTGATTATTTATAATGGTTTTTTTTTTTTGAGACAGAGTCTTGCTCTGTTGCCTGGCCTGGAGTGCAGCGGCGTGATCTCAGGTCACTGCAACCTCTGCCTCCCAGGTTCAAGTGATTCTCCTGCCTCAGCCTCCCGAGTAGCTAGGACTACAGGCATGCGCCACCACACCCAGCTAATTTTTCTATTTTTAGTAGAGATGGGGTTTCACCATGTTGCCCAGGATGGTCTCAATCTCTTGACTTCATGATCCACTGGCCTCAGCCTCCCAAAGTACTGGGATTACAGGTGTGAGCCACCGCTCCTGGCTTGTATTTTTTTTTTTGAGACGGAGTTTTGCTTTTGTTACCCAGGCTGGAGTGCAATGGTGTGGTATCGGCTCACTGCAACCTCTACCTTCTAGGTTCAAGCAATTCTCCTGTCTCAGCCTCCCGAGGAGCATGTGCCACCACACCAGCTAATTTTGTATTTTTAGTAGAGACGGGGTTTCTCCATGTTGGTCAGGCTGGTCTCGAACTCCCAACCTCAGGTGATCTGCCTGCTCAACTTCCCGAAGTGTTGGGATTACAGGCGTGAGCCACCGTGCCTGGCCTATAATGTATTTTTACTCCAAACAACCTGCCTTATCCCCATTTCCCAAAGATTTAAATCATTCAAAAAGTACCCTGTCTTCTCCAGGTTGCTCCTAAGAATTGGATTTAAAATCTGTAGTAAAAAACAAAGTTTTTTTTTTTTTTTTTTTAAGACACAGTCTTGCTCTGTCACCCAGGCTAGAGGGCAGTGGTGCGATCTCAGCTCACTGCAGCCTCTGCCACCCAGGTTCAAACGATTCTACTGCCTCAGCCTCCCAAGTAGCTGGGACTGTAGGCGTGCACCCCCATGCCCAGCTAATTTTTGTATTTTTAGTGGGCATGAGGTTTCACCGTATTGGCCATGCTGGTCTTGAACTCCTGACTTGAAGTGATCCGCCCACTCGGCTTCCCAAAGTACTGGGATAATAGGCATGAGCCACCGCACCTGGCTAAACACAATGTATTAATATACTTATTGAAATGCACATGATATCTCACTGCACCATGAACATCATGTGGAAGATATCAGTGGTCTATCAGGCATTCATGTCTCAATTTACAAAAAGCCAATAAAAACAAAGTTGAAAAAGTCCATTAACTGTTTTCTATTATACTCCACATAATTAATGTTAGGCTGGGCACGGTGGCTCAAGCCTGTAATCCCAGCACTTTGGGAGGCCAAGACGGGTGGATCACGAGGTCAAGAGATCGAGACCATCCTGGCTAACACTGTGAAACCCCGTCTCTACTAAAAAAATACAAAAAACTAGCCGGGCGAGGTGGCAGGCGCCTGTAGTCCCAGCTACTCGGGAGGCTTAGGCAGGAGAATGGCATAAACCCGGGAGGCGGAGCTTGCAGTGAGCTGAGATCCGGCCACTGCACTCCAGCCTGGGCAACAGAGCGAGACTCTGTCTCAAAGAAAAAAAAAATAATAATAATGCTAAATACTAGTCATGAGTATTTTTGTCAGATGGGCAACTAGGACAGAAAGTGGGTTATAGCTGAGGCTGATTGAACTGGCACCAGGAAGAAACAATTTTCAAGATATAACTAGTGGCTGGGCTCGGTGGCTCACGCCTGTAACCTCAGCACTTTGGGAGGCCGAGGCGGGTGGATCACCTAAGGTTGGGAGTTTGAGACCAGCCTGACCAATATGGAGAAACCCCGTGGTGGCGCATGCCTGTAATCCTAGCTACTTGGGAGGCTGAGGCAGGAGAATCGCTTGAACTCGGGAGGTAGAGGTTGTGGTGAGCTGAGATTGTGCCACTGCACCCCAGCCTGGGCAACAAGAGTGAAACTCCGTCTTAAAAAAAAAAAAAAGATATAACTAGTAACAGTTTGTTACCCAACTGAGTAAATAAAACCAAGAAAAGGGAATAAACAGGAAGAACACTAAGTGTGCGTCACAGATGATGCAGCTCTATCTGCGTAAAAGAAAGGAAAGGATCTAGTCCACTTCTTCCTTCAGCATCAGAAGAGAAGGCAGAAGACAAACTCACAGAAAGAAATGGTAGCCAGAAAGCAGAATGCAGTCTTATTAGAGATGGAAATTGGTTTTGTCTCATTCCTTCGGTCTGTGTGGTGGCTGTGAAAGTGGTTGAAAAAGAAAACAGGCCAGGTGCAGTGGCTCACATCTATAATCCCAGAACTTTGGGAGGCCAGGGGGCGAGGCAGGAAGATGGCATGAAGCCAAGTCTACCCTGGCCAATGTAGAGAAAGCCCTTCTAAAAACAACAACAACAACAACAACAACAACAACAACAACAACAACAAAATTAGATTTCAGAACTGGTTCTGAAATCCAGTTCTCTACACTGTGCCCAAATGATCAAAATGATCTTTCTGAAATGTAAATTTGATCTTGAAAAGAAAAAAAATTACAAAAATAAACTTATAAATAAACAATTAGCATTCTATGATATACCAGCTCATCTATCTACTAAAAAATAATCAACAGTTTATCAGCCAGGCACAGTGGCTAATGCCTGTAATACCAGCACTTTGGGAGGCTGAGGTGAGTGGATCACCGGAAGTCAGCAGTTCGAGACCAGCCTGGTCAATATGGCAAAACCCCATCTCCACTAAAAATATAAAATTAGCTAGGTGTGGTGGTGCACGCCTACAGTCCCAGCTACTCGGGAGGCTGAGGCATGAGGACTGCTTGAACCCGGGAGGTGGAAGTTGCAGTGAGCCGAGATCGCGCTACTGCACTCCAGCCTGGGTAACAGAGTGAGACTTTGTCTCAAAAATAATAATAATAATAATAATAATAATAATAATAATTAACAGTTTATTAAATTCTTCCTGCCTTTCTCTGCAAAAAATAATTTTATCTTATTTTCCTGATGAGATCTTTGGGAGCTCTTTCCAGAATGGCCTTCTCTGACATCTCTCTGTATCAAAAAGACGAACACCGCCTCCTACTGCAGCCCTTCCTGAGTACTCCTGGTTAGGGATGCCATCATTCTCTCTTCCAATCTCCACCCTGAACCACACGCATTTACGTACAAGTGTAAACTCTCTTAGACCAAACCACCCCAAAGAGGACCTGAATTTGCTTCCTCTGTCTCAGCATCTCTCACAGTTCTATGCTTATACCAAGGCTCAAAACTCACTAAATGAACTGCATGATTTTGAGGGCAAATGGCCTGTCTTACACCCCATATGAGAGGTTGAATTTTAGTCCCAGTTCCGGCATTCTCCGGCCATGACACTTTTTGCTTGCAAATTCTTATCTCTGGGCCTCAGTGTCCTCCTCCTGTATAAACTCAGGTGGTTGGAAAAAATGGTCCCTGAGGAAACTTCCAACTTTAAAATGCTATGGTTCTAAAACAGTTAATTTATATCAAAAGGTATACTGGGGATGGGTATCGTGGCTCAAGCCTATAATCCCAGCACTTTGTGAGGCCAAAGCAGGGACACTGCTTGAGCTCAGGAGTTCAAGATCAGTCTAGACAACATAATAAGACCCCATCTCCATAAAACAAACAAAAAAACAATTAGCTGGGTGTGATGGTACACACCTGTAGTCCCAGCTATTTGGGAAGCTGAGGTGGGAGGATCACTTGAGCCCAGGAGTTTGAGGCAGCAGTGAGCTGTGATCATACCACTGCACTCCAACATGGGTGACAGAGCAAGACCCTGTCTCAAAAAAAAGTAAAAGTGGAATGGTGGGGAACAAAGAAGTGCCTAGAACTTAACTGGTATAGCGGATGGACTGAAGATACAGATAAACACTTTAAGGAATGCACATATCTCAGTATGGCTTTGTTCAAGGCAACTGGACAATTCCTTGAAAAACTCCCAAATGATACCCAAGAATTGACTGAGAACTCCATGGAATTGGAGCAAGACGCTTGTCCAGCTAAATAAGCAGGGCAGTGATAAGCTGCAGAAACCCAGTTTATTTATCCTTAGTGTCCACCAAGCTCCTCCTGTGTGCCACGTCCCCTACCAGGTATGAGAGGTACAGCAATGAGCAAGCAAGGCACAGCCCCTGCTCTGTGAAGCTGACATTCTTCTTCCAGCCACCAGGCCACTTGTGGGTAGACAAAGATTCCTGTAGACTTTCACCCCTCATCACTTCCGTGCTTGGGAACATGATCTTCCCCTTCCCTCACTGCCTTCTCTGGGTTCTGCTCTTTACCCGGCTTAACTCCTAATTATCCTCCTGGAGATGCCGCTTCTCAGGCGGTCCTGGCTTCATCAGGGCCCCAGTTCTCAGTCCCAGTGCTGCACACTGCTCTTCTGTAACACTGGTTATGGCTGTGATTTATTTACTTGTGTGATTTCATTCTGGGTTCTCCTCTGTGCTGGGAAATCCAGAAGGCCAGCATCTGATACACCTTTCTGGTTAAGTCCCACAGTGCAGTCTGCAAAGGGAGCAACCACTCTGGATTTGGGGGTAAAAAAAAGGTACAGGCCTCACCTGTTCTTTGTCTGTAGTAACATCACCTATGACTAAGACCTGGTACGTTGGGAATCAGGAGACTGTAGAGTAGATCTCATACTTAGTAACTGCTATTTCTACTGGCTGCCAAGCCATCAAGAGCCCAGTAGAGCTAAAATATTAGGCTGCTGTAGCCCAGCTGATAAGAAGCCCAGAGTGAATGGCAGACACCAAGTGCAGCTGATACAAGAGATTCCAGATCTAGATTTCATTGCAGCATGAGAGCCTCAAACTAAGCTTTGCTTTTTTTTTTTTTTTTTTCTTCACTCTCTGGCTCTTGGAAGGAAAGAACAACTCATGCTGCTTTGGGGAATTCCACAAGGGTTCAGAATCAGCATACAAAAAAAGGACTTGGTCTCAGAATGCTGATTCCCTGAACTTAGGATACGGAAGGAGAAAAAGGACCTCTTGAATAAAGTCAAATACTTGGAATGGTTCATTTCTGCTGGTGGCTCTTTTTATTTTTATTTATTTTTATTTTTTTTTTTTTTTGAGACGGAGTCTCGCTCTGTCGCCCGGGCTGGAGTGCAGTGGCACGATCTCAGCTCGCTGCAAGCTCCGCCTCCCAGGTTCACACCATTCTCCTGCCTCAGCCTCCCGAGTAGCTGGGACTACAGGCGCCCGCCGCCATGCCCGGCTAATTTTTTGCATTTTTAGTAGAGATGGGGTTTCACCGTGTTAGCCAGGATGATCTCGATCTCCTGACCTCGTGATCCGCCCGCCTCGACCTCCCAAAGTGCTGGGATTACAGGCGTGAGCCACCGCGCCCGGCCCCTGGTGGCTCTTTTTAATTCTGGGAAGGGTTACAATGGGCTTGTACACAGTGGGGTTCGGCCCCTGCACTCACGTGGTGTCGTCCCAGCGCTGTAGACACTGGCTGTGGAAGCTGTGGTTACATAACGTTGTGAGGATGCCATTCACAGACTCGTCCATGCGCTCCAGACACACCGTGCACTTGGGGAGCTCAGTCAGGTCCATCACTGGGAGGCTGGCGCCCTACAGGAAACACCTCACATAAACTTTACTCTTCATCTACCAGCAATACTTTATTTTTCCTTCTTTTTTTTTTGAGACAGGGTCTCGCTCTGTCACCCACACTGGAGCCCAGTGGCACAATCATGGCTCATTACAGCCTTCAGCCTTGACCTCCCAGGCTCAAGTGATCTGCCACCTCAGACTCCCCGGTAGCTGGGACTACAGGCATGAGCCACTGTGCCAGGCCTTTCTTCTTTTAATACTAATTTTCTAGTTGCTTTTTTGACTCCTGGCAGGATATCCTCAATATCATTGCTCTAAGCAAATAATTTAAATTGGTAATATTTTCATTCATTTATTCATTCATTCAAGAAACACGCCAAGTACCTCCTATATTCCAGCACTGTGCCAGGTATTGGGAATACAGTGGTGAACAAAACAAAGATCTCTGCCCTCACAGAACTGACATTCCAGGAAGGGAGACTGCTGCCAAAACCTTAACATATAAATCTCAAATGTGACCAGACTCCTAGCTCAAGCTCTAAGTGTCTATGACTATAATAGAATACAAAGGAACAAAAGAATAGCTAGACCTGAAGGATTTTTCCATAAAGTTATAACTTAACACTTTCTACTCAGTGATAACAGCACCAACAACACTGATTTTTCTTTATTCCCTCATTTGACAGGTAAAGATTGAGCCCCTGCTATGTGCAGCAGACAGACACTGTTCTAGGTATGGAACAGTGGTGAGCAAAAACAGATTCATTAAGTCCAAAAAACTGTCAGTTCCTGTCCCCACAGAGCTTAGAATCTAGTGGAGGGAGAGACAAAAATCAAATTAAAAAGCAAACAGTACAGGAAGCCACAACAGGGTGTGAATTACGGGGCATGACAGTCTAGATGGTCAGGAAGGGCATTCCTAAGACATTGCTTGACTTGACGTTTCCAGCCAGAAGAGGAGAAGGAATTACTTAGGCAAAGGTCGGGGAGCACACACTTATGGACAGAGAAAAAGCACATTAACCTATAGTCCCTGAAGAGTAGATACTTACAGGAAATCTCTCAAGAAGCCACGTTAAGAAAGGAATCTCTAAAACTGAGGCCTCGTGCAGCATCCAGCACAAAGGATGCCCAATTTTATCACGTCAAATTTTTTTTGAGTTTGACAAATTTACTGGTATTTTAGTAAAGACATTCATCTCAGTTGTTTCTCTCTCCCAGCTTGACCTTAGGTTAATATTTCATTTGGGTCAAGAAAAGAGTATGTAGGAGAGTTATGTTAACAAACAGGAAAATGGACAAAAATGGATAGTTTGCCTACATTAAAGTAAGTTAAATTCATGTATTTTGATATAATTAAATCATGTAAGAACTAAGAGTTCTATATACATTTCCATTGTTTTACTTGGGGCTTATTCTAAACTTAAATGCTAGTGAACAAGTGTTAGGAATACACACAGCATGCTTCTCTGTAGTTATTACCAACTAAAAGAGCTCAGCGAGCAGTTACCACCAATAAAACAGTCTGAAGCTGCCTCCAAATATAATATTGTAGGAGTTTTCAAGGAAATTTTTATACTGTATGCTTCTTCTGTGACTATGCTTTTAAAAATGTGTTTAACTGTCACATTAAGAAAGATGCCAGGCAGGGTGGCTCACACCTGTAATTCCAGCATTTTGGGAGGCTGAGGCAGGTGGATCACAAGTTCAGGAGTTCAAGATCAGCCTGGCCAAGATGGTGAAACACTGTCTCCACTAAAAATACAAAAAATTAGCCGGGTGTGGTGGTGGGTGCCCTGTAATCCCAGTTACTTGGCAGGATGAGGCAGAGAATTGCTTGAATTTGGGAGGCGGAGGTTGCAGTGAGCTGAGATCGTGCCACTGCACCCCAGCCTGGGTGACAGAGTGAAATTCCGTCTCAAAAAAAAAAAGCATATGCAATACAAAATACAAAAACAAACACCCTACGATACACAAATCTCACAAAGCATATGTGGTGAAATTCCAAAAAAATGTTTGAAGATGCATTTTCTTTCCTTCTATTCCAGTATCTAGCATGTGCTTTTTGAGAGGCCATTTATTATTTTATATATACATTTAAAATAAATCACGTAATTTTACTAGTAAGAAAGCCAGGTCAGCATGGTGGCTCACACTCGTAATCCCAGCACTTTGGGGGCCAAGGCAGGCAGATCACGAGGTCAAGAGACCAGCTTGGCCAATGTGGTGAAACCCCGTCTCTACTAAGAATACAAAAATTAGCTGGGTGTGGTGGCACGTGCCTGTAATCGCAGCTACTCAGGAGGCTGAGGCAGGAGAATCGCTTGAACCTGGGAGGCATAGGCTGCAGAGAGCCGAGATTGCTCCACTGCACTCCAGCCTGGGTGACAGAGCAAGACTCCATCTGGGTCGGGGAGGAAGCCAGTAGTTAAGTTCAATTTAAACTGGATTTCACAAGTTAGTAATTTAAATCCTTAGACAAAGTTAAAGAAAGTGCATCTTCTTGTTTTCCATCTTCATACAATGTTAAAATTTTTTTTTTTGGTGTTTATACTTTTAAATAAATAAAAACAGCCAAATGCTTAATATGTACATTTAATTTTTTGGTGGTAGTGGTTCGTATTTTAAAAGAAAAGCTTCCTTATGATTTGCCTCAAGTTCTGGTGGAAATGTTTACAGCAACTAGTTAATAAACAAAAAACAAGAGAAGCACATTCAAACTACTGATTTACTTTGGTAGCAAATGGTTTTTCTTTGAAGACTAATGAAGATACACAAGACCCATTAAGGTGAAGTGGGCTATTTCAAATATTCAACAGGTTACATTTTTTAAATATCCTTTATTATTATTTTTTTAATCTCGGTTCACTGCAAGCTCCGCATCCCGGGTTCATGCTATTCTCCTGCCCCAGACTCCCGAGTAGCTGGGACTACAGGTACCCGCCACAATGCCTGGCTAATTTTTTGTACTTTTTTTTTTTTTTTTTTTTGAGACGGAGTCTCGCTCTGTCACCCAAGCTGGAGTGCAGTGACCGGATCTCGGCTCACTGCAAGCCCCGCCTCCCGGGTTTACGCCATTCTCCCGCCTCAGCCTCCCGAGGAGCTGGGACTACAGGCGCCCGCCACCTCGCCCAGCTAGTTTTTTTGTACTTTTTAGTAGAGACGGGGTTTCACCGTGTTAGCCAGGATGGTCTCGATCTCCTGACCTCGTGATCCGCCTGTCTCGGCCTCCCAAAGTGCTGGGATTACAGGCTTGAGCCACCGCGCCCGGCCTTTTTTTTTTTTTTTTTTTTTTTTGGGACGGAGTCTCGCTCTGTCACCCAGGCTGGAGTGCAGTGGCACAATCTTGGCTCACTGCAAGCTCTGCCTCCTGGGTTCACACCATTCTCCTGCCTCAGCCTCCCAAGTAGCTGGGACTATAGGTGCCTACCACCACGCTCAGTTAATTTTTTTTGTATTTTTAGTAGAGACAGGGTTTCACCATGTTAGCCAGGATGCTGTTGATCTCCTGACCTTGTGATCCGCCTGCCTCGGCCTCCCAAAGTACTGGGATTACAGGCGTGAGCCACCGCGTCCGGCCAAAAAAAAAAATTCTATTAAGAGCTAAACGTCTGTATCCACTGATAGCAATGCAATACCTAGTTTATGATGACTTGAAACAAAACAAATGCGTATAAGGAAAAAAGCTGCATTGTAATTTTATCTAAATTTACTTTCAGTCAATAGTTCAGCAACATTTTCTTCCCAATGCAATACTCCCTGTCTCCATAAGGCTGTTCCTGGGAGCCAGACAAGTTTAGGTAATAAGCGAGTTAAGAGAGTAACTGCTTGCAGTTTTAAACAGCCAATAACGTTTTGCTTCTCTCTTTTTTGAGACACAGTTTCACTCCTGTTGCCCAGGCTGGAGTGCAATGGCGTGATCTTGGCTCACCGCAACCTCTGCCTCCTGGGTTCAAGTGATTCCCCTGCCTCAGCTTTCTGAGTAGCTAGGATTACAGGCATGCGCCACCACGCCTGGCTAATTTTGTATTTTTGGTAGAGATGGGGGTTTCTCCATGTTGGTCAGGCTGGTCTTGAACTCCTGACCTCAGGTGATCTGCCCACCTTCGCCTCCCAAAGTGCTGGGATTACAGGTGTGAGCCGGTAATGGCTCACTATAGTCTGGACCTCCCCCGACTCAGGGGATCTTCTTGCTTTAGCGGCCCGAGTAGGTGGGACCAAAGGTGCTCAGCATCACACCCAGCTAATTTTTGTTATTTTTTGTCGAGACAGGGTTTCATCATGTTGCCCAGCCTGGTCTCGAACTCCTACACTCAAGCGATCCATCACCTCAGCCTCCCAAAGAGCTGGGATTATAGGTATGAACCACCACGCCCAGCCAGGGTGATCTTGTCTCCACAAAAAATTTTAAAAATTAGCCAGGTATGGTGGTGCACGCTTGTAGTCCCAGCTACCGAGGAGGCTGAGGCTAGCAGATGCTTGAATCAGAGAGATCGAGGCTGCAGTGAGCCAAGATCACACCACTGTGTTCCAGCCTAGGTGACAGAGCGAGACCCTGTCTCAAAAATAAAAGGCAGAAACAAGAGTTAGGAAGACAATTAAGGGTTACTATTGAAAACAAAAACATTTATTTTCAGCTTCAGGCTTCACTGATCTAGAATTGATAAACACTCAATTTCAACAATGCAGTATCATTTTTTCTTTTTTTTACGTTTTTTGAAATTTTAGAAAATGAGATGAAATTCAATAAAATTCTCTATTTTAAAGTGTACAGTTCATTGGCTTGTAGTATATTCATAATGTTGTGCAACTGTCACCACTATCTAATTCTGGAACACTTCCATCAATTCCAGAAGAAATCCTGTATACTGTTAGCAGGCACTCCCCATTCGTCTCTTCCTGCAGCCCTGACAACCACCAGTCTACTTTCTGTGTCTATGGACTGGCCTATTCTGGGTATTTCACAGATACCTTAGCATTCAATTTTATACCAATCTGATATATTTTAATTAAACATA